TGTATGTGTTTATTTACATATATATATATACAGTATATATCTGTTTGAGTCAATGCAGTTCCTGTTTATATAGACCCCAACTGAATGATTTCAATGTGAAAAGGAATAATTTAAAAGCATGATACTACATGTCTCCTGTAAAGCAGGAGGTGATAAAACGGAGAGATGCTATTTCTGTATGATGCTGCATGCTAACCTGGTGGAGTTGAACAGCAGCTCTGTGTCTTTGCTCCAGTAGAAGGTTGGCTTCGGAGCTGCTTTCGGTCGACACTCGATCACAACACGGCCATTTTTGGGCGCCAGGACGTTTTTCACTGGGCGGCGTTCAAATGTAGGAGCACGTGCTGAAGAGTGACAGTGGGTTTTAATAAGTCTTGGTAATTAGTCAGCTTTTTGATGTAGCCCTTAAGCATCAGAACAAGAGTCCGTGCAGCGATTGCAGCCAAATTGTGACTCACCAATCACTTTCAGCTCTGCGTTGGCATAAATAACTCCGTGGCGATTCTCTGCAATGCACTGGTACATCCCTGCATCATCATACGTCAGCCTGCTGAACCTCATTTCTTTCTTATCAATCTGTAGAGAAAAAGCAGTGAATTGTTAAAATAATTTTTATTTTATTTTACTTCAAGTCTTTTATATTGTTTTAATTCTTACATGAAGCAAAGTTATAATGCTGATTTTTGATGTTCTACAAAGTACTTCACAATGTTCTCATTCACACAAAAACTCATCCAGTGCCTCTTATTAAGTATGCTAACTTCACTGTCACTAGCGGCTACTCTCACGGGGGTTTGAGTTGTGTTGACAGTGGTTTGTGGAGGAGCGTTACACAACACATGCTGCCTAACAACAGGTACTCTCTGCTGTCATGATGTGTACTCACAGTGCCAGCTTCCTGTCTCTGCTGAGCTACAGTACAAATGCAGGGCTGCATACTGAACAGATGGGAGCTACCCAGAAGTTTCTAACAGTACTGCTCAACACTAATTTGACTAAGGCTGCGCTTTTTTGCGCAGGAGACATTGGCCTCTAAATCCCCCGCTCCCCTGCTGGTACTCTCTGCTGTCATGATGTGTACTCACAGTGCCAGCTTCCTGTCTCTGCTGAGCTACAGTACAAATGCAGGGCTGCATACTGAACAGATGGGAGCTACCCAGAAGTTTCTAACAGTACTGCTCAACACTAATTTGACTAAGGCTGCGCTTTTTTGCGCAGGAGACATTGGCCTCTAAATCCCCCGCTCCCCTGCTGTGAGCCACATAGTGTCTATTATTATGCTAAAGAGGCGCACGCACACCTAGAGACACACCTAACCCTAATCACTGCTCACCTACATGTCCACCCTCAGCCCAAAACTGTGCTCCTACATATCCGGGTCACGGCACCAGAATGTCCGGGTCACGGCACCAAATTTTACAACAACGAAAGATGCTTGTATGTAGATGTTTTTGCAGAGTGTCTGAACCTGGCATTGCGTCATCTTTCAAGGACCAGGCTGGGGATGTGGCTTTTTTCATCATGGCCTTTTCCAGCATAAAACGATGTTGAAATTCCAGTGAAAGGCCAAGTATAAAGTCTCGTCTGCTCTTTTTACAATTTTTTACTGTAGCTCTGAAAATACAGTGGCATCAATGTATGTTCGTTGCAACACACCACATTTTCAGAGCAAAAACTTGTAAACAAGAGCCCTTGAGAAACAATGTGACAATATCATGAGGCGTGGTGGGTGTGTCTGGATTACCTGCAGCAATTTGTCTAACAAAAGGCCACTAATAGCCCTCAGATTGCTAAGAAGAAGGAGGGGGTTTGTCCTCAGGATCTTGAAATTTCAGTCAAGCTAGTGTCAACCGCTCAGTGGGACCACAATGACTTTAGTGTAAAATATATTTATATATATATAAATTACCGGTTCTCCATTTTTCAGCCAGCGGATTTGAGGTTTTGGTTCACCTTTGGCTATGCATGACATGGTGAAGCTGCTATAGATGTCTTTCTCTGTGCTACTAATGTGCTCCACCCACACAGGAAAGGCTGCAAATAAGAAAAGACAGAGATGTAGAGTTTTAGAAGAATTTCTGAAAATGACTTTATTGAGTAAAACTATTTGACAGCTAGTTAGAAAAAAATATGACTGCTTTTGTAAAAGAAAAATAAATGAAAGTACACACACAATATTTCCTTAGAAAAGAACCTAAACAGAAAAAACAACAACTGCAAAGCAATGGCTAACGTGAAATTCAAGGTGTTATAAAATAGGGAGGTCTTGGACTCAAATGCATGAAAGCATGAGGCAGAATCAGAATCAGTGTGGCCCCTCCCACTCACATTTGTTCCCTGTAATCCTTAAGCAAGGTTTATAGTTAGTGATGAAAACAGTGCAAGGGTGCTCATGTCAATGTTAACACAATCTTGCCATCCGTGCTCCTGCACGTTGGTCCCGTGCAGTTTCTCTATTCAAATAGTTTGAGGCCAGCAAACAGGTCCCACTGTCTGCACTCAGAAAACGTTATGGATAGACTGAGAATCTAACTCCTCAGTGACTCCAACTCTCACCCTGTAGAGGTCCAACTTACTGACGGCAATGTGTACTAGACTTTCACATTTAGGGACTGAATGGCTCGTAAAAGTGAACCCCCAATCCCTTACTCACAGAGCACCCTCCAACAAGGTACCCCTAGGAATGTGTTCAAATGTCTTCTCCAAGTCCACAAATCACATGTAGACTGGTTGGAAAGACTCCCATGCACCCCTAGGGGTACTAGAAAAGGTAAAGAGCCAGTCCAGTGTTCTACAGCTGGGACAGAACTCATATTGTTCTTCCCATCCGAGGTTTGTCCATTAACCAGTGCATTTGACAATGAACTGTGGAAAACAATAGCCTCTTTCATAAAACACTTAAGATTAATCTAAGCCGCCTTCTCCCCATCTTGGTGTAACATCGGCCAATATGAAGGTGTCAAAAGAAGTTTGAAGCTAACCTGTTTCTGTTATACCTCTGAGCCAACAAGTAAGGTAAAAATAGAGCCATGGAGGTCGGGATATGGAAGAGTAAGCTGGCATTGTGGCACAACACTTTGATATAGTGATGACAGAGTCTACACAATCAGTTGTTTGTGGGATTCAGAGCAGGAGGTGTGGGATGCACATAGTGCTGGGCGGTATACCGTTTTGTACCGAATACCGGTTTTTATTTTTGTTATGATATGAATTTTTTGAATACCGGACATTCCGGTTTAAATAGCGGAACGTTTCGTCGCGGCCGGCAGTGAACTGTTGTTTCCCGGGGGACATTTTTCCTTGCTGCACCACTATGTGCGTTAGCATGCTAATGTTTGGAGCAGCTAGTTGCAGCCGCGGGTGGCGATTCCGCTGCTTATATTGACTTGACGTTTAAAAAACATCCCGTTTTCGCCGTCGCTGAATGTAGTAAACACCTCTTCAGTGACGTGCACAGTTAGATTTAACGCGGTTAGTTAATATGGAGACGTTATGCTGATGGAGACTTAACGTGGTTCTATTGTGAAAAGCCCGCAGGAAGTAGTTCGTAGTGGAGTTGGAATTGAATGGTGTGCAAGGTGAGTCGTGCTGATAAGCTTTAATAAATAACATAAAACAATAAACCCGATCATAATCTTTTCTTAACCCTTCTCCTTCACGACTGAACCAAAATGCATGATTACTGTCTACAACCACCAGTCAGAGAAGAACAGACACAGAGAGGAGGGAAACAGAGACACAGACAGAGGTTCAGTAAAAGAAAAAAACTCAATAAGCAGGGTTTGTACATTTTATTATCAGCTGAGCTGTGATGAAAAGAAAAATACCGTCAAATACCGTGAAACCGGTGAAAATGTTGAAAATACCGTGATATAAAATTTTGATCATATCGCCCATCTCTAGATGCACATGTTATCCGTAATACTCCACATCATTGTGAAGCATTGCATGTGGAAGGCTCAGTTGGTGCTTTACGGATGTCCAAGCAGCTTAAAAAGGGGCTTGTCTTTGCAGCCATATTGCTAAACTGTTTTTTGAATGGGGCTGAGGAGTATTTGCTGGCAGGAGTGATGAGTGAGTGAAACCATGCTGTTTACCAACAAAAACCACGTTGCATGTACAGAGGTAGATAAAAGGAACTTTTAAAGACTACAGCACCACAATCACAAGAACAGAACATCAATTATAAAACCAAAGCAATGGCCTAATTTAAGACCAAAATAGGACACATGTCTCTTACCCTGAACAGACACATTTGCAGAGTGGAAGTCTTTTCCTTTTGAGTTGATGGCTTCACATCTATACGTGCCACTGTTATCGAACTGGACATTATAGAGGTAAAGCTGAGCACCTGCCATCCGCACCTCCATGTTGTACGGCATCTCTCCGCCAATTCTCCTCCAGTGAATATCAGGTACAGGGCTGAGATGGGCCAACAGAAAAAGTAATGCATGAGCCAGGGTCAAATTTGTTGCTTCTGCATCTTATGCTCTTTTAGAATTATTATTAGCTTTGCTTTCTGACAGACCAAGCAGTAGCAATCAACACTTTAGTACTCTGCGTTAATGTTTTTGCTGTCTTTCAAAAGCTAGGAGCTTTTGGGCAACAAACAACTCAATTTTGTTTGATACAATTATAATTGTTCTTTTAGACATATTAATTAAAACCTAGATACTTAAAAAAATTATAGTTGGCATGACATTTGACACAGGAAGGCATAAAATGCACAATGCATCTAAGCAAGCAGGTAATTGGTGATCGTTCACTCTTACTTCCCCAAAGCAAAGCATTCCAAGGTGATATTCTGTCCCACCAAAGCAGTGGTGTCTGGAAACTTAACTCTTAGGTCAGCTGGGTATTTTCTGTTGTGACCTGAGCAGAAAGATCAGAAGGTGACAAACACACACACAAACATTCACAAAAATTCAAATAAAAACTGGATAACAACATCATGCAATATTATTTTGAGTTATAAATAAGAAAAAAATGTCCCAGAGATAGGTTTAGTGCTCTTTTAGTTGAACATTTTTCTCCATCGTAAAACAACTCCAATGTTCAAAATTTCATAGCTGTTCATGCAAACACTATTTTGTAAACGTTACACCATTACTGGTTTTGTTTTACATTCTTTACATAGTGTAAGATATTTATTGATTTATATTGAGTCCTAAATGTATTTCGCATATACATTTTTATGCTTGAAGTGTTTAGAATATTTTATAATCAATGTGCAATCAGTTACTTTTTAAACTGTGATTAAGAACAACTTCCTAGGGGCAACACACCTCACACTGATTTAACACAATCAGATGTATAAAATTTCTACATCTAAGCTTGTAGGACTTCTTTGTTTGTGAATTGGGTCACCCAGATAAGTGAGGTCTCCTCCTTTGATGATGTAATTTCCAGGAGGCGTGACTCAATTCTGAAGAATATTGTTACAAGCTACTGTTTTGTGAGAGAACAGTGCCAAATGCCAGTGATCTGAATTCCTGTACACTTGATTCAGCTGCTTACTCCTGTATGCACAATTAAATACTTAAGTTTAGCTTTAATTGTTTCCTGTGTATAATTCGGGCTCGTATTTTGAACACACTTTGATTTCTTTCAATAGAATCCTATAGTTCCTGTTGAGCTCAAACAGCAACAGCAGCTAGTTAAAGCACTTCAAGCAGGAATTTTATAATAACTGGTCTCGGACTATTCAGACAACCCATTAGCTCATCATCTCGGTCAGAAAGAAACTTGAGTCTTCCAAACTGAGGTTGTTCAAAGTGCTACCTATGACAGGTAAATTACCATTATTTATAACCTTTCCACAGAACCCCACTTCCAAAAGAATCTGAACTGGCTAGTTTGATAAAAAAGCACAACCACATTTGTTAGTTTAAATTACTCTTTATGGTTTTACTTTCTGTTGCTTAATAACTCCTTTTCAATATGAGTTGCTTTCTAGTTTAAGTTTGAGCTCATTCCTTCTTTTATAGTTAATTAAGAAAATTCAATAAGCTAATGGTGACATGACTTTATCAAACTGAAAAGGCACCACCGTGTTTAAGCATAGAGCTTTGTTACAGAGGAAATAAGTCATCAAAACATACAAAAGCAAAAAAATGAGTCTTTTAAAGTATCCTTGAATCTTATTTTAGTCAAAGAAAAAAAAAAACACTTAAGGTCCTATTCTTCACTCCCAGCTCATTTCAATGACTAAAGTAAAAGAAGTAACACCTGTACGGTGTTTATGATAATTTATTGCTACTGAATCGAAACTTAACTAACTTTCTTTGCAATTTTTCTCTATTCTGTGAATTCAGTGCAGAAAAAAGTATGTAGTGCTGGTACATGACTGAAACAAGTTACATTACAAGCCTCTGTGCAGGTAGTTTTGGATGGTTGAAATAAAAGTTATTGTTAACTTGTGCAGCAAACTCAAAATCTGCTTTAGTTTCATTTACAACAGGAGGTAAGACAGGTGAGTAACTGGAAGATAAATACTAACGTTCAGCCACAAGCTTCAGGGGAATGTAGTTGGAAAACACACTCTTGGAACTGGATGGGCTGGATACCATGCAGGAGTAGTTGCCCCTGTCTGATGGGTCCACCTTGGAGATGTACAGGTTGCCTGTTATCTGGGAGACAAATCGCCGCTTGTCCAGAGAGATGAAGCTGGGGAAATCATTGAGCATCCATCGAAATGACAATCCTCCTACACAGACAGAGACAGAGAGAAGTGCTGCCTGTCAATCAAAGGTTTTAAATTGTGGCCACACTTTTGAAAAAGCTAAAGGGAGTTGATATGAGGCTTGCTTGCTCTGAGTTAAAATACAACATGCAAGACAAAACTAGAACTATGCAGTGCCGAGGGAACTCATGATTCAAGCATCCATTGACCTTTGCAGATGAATTTTTAGAATCCAGCTAAAAGGCAAAACTAGCCATGTGAGTACATTTAATTTCTTGTAATTTTGTAAGAGTTACTGATTTGTATTTGCCTGAATATTGATTTTTTTTTCTGGTTAAAGGTTTTTTAATGTTAATGACAAAGGAGAAACTTTTTTTTTTTCAAATGTTAAAAAAACTCGAATTAAAATTTTTGGAAAAATAAATACTTTTTTAAATGATGTCTCTTCGTGGGTAGAACAAACACAACAATGTGCAGTTTTGAGTTTCTTTAAATCAAATCAAAGACTAAGGAAGACATCAAAACATCAGATGTGTTTGTTATACAAAGAGAAAATAAAAGACAGTTTGAACACTTAAACCAAAACAGACCAAGATATCAAAGACTGCACCTGGATGGTGTGGAGGGGGTGCACATAGCAGGACTGCCCCCTGGCCCTCCTTGACATACACTGTCTCCCTCTCCTCCAATGAGAAAAAATCAAGGTCTGAAAAAGCAGAGGTAAGACAACATTACCCTCCTGTAGCACTTCCTACAACAGTGTAACAGACTTTATCTGCATAAAATGCATTGTTATGGACTAATTATTTATATCTGTTTGACCTTGACCTTGAAAATACAGGTCCTGTGGAACATTTGGATGATGCTGCACATCCCAGCCTCCAGTAAAAATAAAAAGGCTAATCTTTGAAACAACTTACATCCAAACTGGACAGATGCTTTTCTGCTGACGACTGTGCCAAACATGTTGGTGGCCAGACAAGAGTAGTTTCCCACGTGTTCGGTTCTTATGGGGTTGCTGATGACCAAGTTGCCTCCTGATAAACTGTAGTGGCTCCCCTCATCATTCAAGTCAATGTCTACATTGTTCAGTTTCCATCTGCATAGAAAACAAGTCAAATCAGAGAACTGATGTGTTTGGAAAGTTATGTAACTTGAGTTTATTATAGGGATGTAAAAAGGATGTACTTCAGTTTGGGTACTCATTGATAACGAGTGCTGATACAGAGTAATTGTTGAGTTAGAACATAAACACTACACAATGACTTTAAAAGCCCATTTCTTTTATTTAAACCAAGCTCCCCTTCCTTATAGGCCTGCAGCCCATCTGACTGGATCAAATTGAATATACAGCATGAAATATGCTGCTGCAATATTTTACAGTAACTAAAAATAATAATAATAAATCACTTGAAATGCAAATTGTGACAACTTCAATGGAATATCTATGTAAGTATCAAAACTGGTATTGATATCAGTCCCAAGTGGAGCATTCTGTACAAGAACAAGTACTTTTAAATATATCAGTCCCAATGCTAATACCAGTTTTGGTACACCAGTAGCTTATTCTTATTCTTATCATATTGTAATATGATAAAATATATTTTTTATCTTTTTTCAGAGATGCACATAAGAATTGTTGTTTCATGCAAAACAATGATTTTATGTTCATTTGAAATTTTATTGGGCTATAAAATGCACCCTCTGAAACAAAGCAAGCTGTGGTCGAAGCTACTTCCATCTCCTCCAGCATCCAACTCTTGAACCCATTCCACCGAAAGCAATTTTCAAGGATGCGGAGCAGGACATTTACATAGATTTACATCTAAATTGAAACAGAACATGAGAGAGATGCTAGCACACGAGGTTCAGTCACAATAGAAACATAGCGTGTGCCTCAGCTGCAGCAACAAGAACTGATGTGTCACGCTTTGGAATTTAAATGCCTATTATGACAGTAAAATCTGTTCTACAAACATTTATCTGTGTACATTAAAAAAAGAAACAGGGAAAAAGGCTTTTAAAAATACTGATTGTAGAAATACTGAATGTTAGAGTTGTATCAGAGATCATTCGAACATTCCTGTGACCTTGGTGTCTAAAAATACAGACCCGTTATGAGGGGAGGGTTCTGGGAGGCACACAGAACCCACAGTGTGGAGTAATGAGAGTGGCTTTATGGGAGCATATGTTACTTGTATGTGGCAGGTGGATTGGCTCTGGCTCGGCAGCTCATGGTAATTTTGGCCTCGGGTGACTCCTCGGGGTAGATGGTGTCCACCGGTTGGTCCTCAAACTCCGGACCAAATCCTATGACTTCATCTGTTGGTGAGAAACAATGCAGAAATAAAGTAAATGAATAACAGCAGCCTGGGTCAGATATGTAGGCAGGTCACTTACACACAGAACCTAGAAATGTTTCTAAGAATGGGTATGTACAGTCATTGTCTTACCTGTTGTAGATAGCTTTATGATTTATCTCATTCTGCTAAGCTAACAACTAACACAGAGATGGCCAACGTGCAACTTCAGTCCATCCTGCCAATGAACATCTAAGCTTTTAAGCTGATTTGAGTGCTTTTATTGAAGTAAAA